AAAAAAGACAAATAACTATACTAATTATGAGAGATGGGATAAAAGTCGGATTATTTAAACTTATTCACATTGAATCTAGGTTGATCGTGGGTCGGACATGGGCCAAATTTGAAATCCGTGCATAAAAATTTTGAAAGAAATATTGAATGGGTAAACAAATTTCGATTAAACTGGAAATTTGTGGGTACGAATCTCCCTACGAGATAAATTCGATGGCTAGTCAATCGACTAAAGCAAATGCCAGAAGGCACCAGAATTAGGTCGGATAATGAACAAGTCAAATTATTGTGGATAAAAAATGACTGAACAAATGAACTCTTAATCGTGCAGTAATTTACGACCATCTCGATGAGACAAATCCAATTGTGGGTCACATGATTGAAACGGATACCAGAGGACACCAAAATGATCCCCACATATAAATTAGCACACATTGGGGCACAAATTGTTTGTGTAAAATATTGATTAGGCAAGCTAGCTCTGATTAAGCAAGCTAGCTCTGATTAAGCTAATTTTTTTTGGTACAACCATCTCAACAATAAGATAAATCTAAAGGTGGTAAATCGAACGGTGGGTCACTTAACTGAAACGGACACCCAACGACACGGTAACTAGGCACAATAAGATAAATCTAAAGGTGGTAAATCGAACGGTGGGTCACTTAACTGAAACGGACACCCAACGACACGGTAACTAGGCCGGGCAAAAATGTCAAATTTATCCCGTTCTCAATACTTGTATTATACATTTTTCTTAAGTTTTGGCAAGTTTGGCATATTACATTTGACGTGCGCTAAATTGATGTATCTTCTTTAGTAGATATAATACTTAAAGGTGAAAACTTGGCGTGCCAACTGAAAATTTCAAGTAAATATTTTTGAAGATTACTATTTATTGTAAATATTTCAATTAATATTTATTTTTAAAGATTATATTCATGTCTTAATTTATTCATGGATTTTTTTTTTATTTTATTTTATTATTATTATTATTTTTTTTTTATGTTTCGATAACCAATTACGTGAAATGCCATTGATGATTGGCCTCAAAAATTATTAGCTAATTCGTAATTGTAAATTATAACTACTCCTGATTTTATTCCGCCTGAATCGGATTTTCTGGAAGCATTTGAAGAGAGAATTTGGTTCGGTTAGACAATAATGTGGCTGGTGCCTTACAACCAAGGATATGATTGTTTAGGTGCATATTTTTTTTAATGGTTTTGAGTGGTTTTGGCGTCTACATTTAAAATTGAATTATTGAGTGTGTTGCACTCAATAATAATGGATTCGAGGAACTATCCTACTCTCAAATTCGTATCCATTATTATTATTATTATTATTGTTGTTGTTGTTGTCAAGTGTAACGTATTAATGGTTTGCAACTCAAAAGAGTACAATCGAGGCGTTAACTCACATCACTGGAGCCAATAACAAAGTCTGGACCAACCACTCACGCAATCACACAGGTGACCAAAAGGATACAAACTTCATAAAGTAGACACAAATACCCGCAAAACATAAATTCCATAAAGAAGACTACAACTCCATGAAGAAGATTGAAAGGTAGACGCAGCTGAACTTAACAAAATGAAACTAAGAAAAACAAACGAGTAATGCTACAAGTACATAACATGGTACATAATGGTGTACATAATACTCACATTTAGTAGGACCCATCAAAAATAAAAAAAAAAAATCAAGTGGATCCCACTTCATGTGAGTGTTATGTACATCTCTATGTACATTTATTATGTACTTCTAGCATTTTCCAAAACAAAAACATCGCACATCTAACATACAAATAGAGTAAGACCTCTCCTAAACCTATCAGGCAAACTGCACGACCAATCATCCCGGCACACAAGCCATGGCCCGCTGCACAAAATCCCAATAGAGCTGCAAATTGAGACTTCACACCTAAAAACTGCGGCCAAACTCGAACCGCTTAGATAGATCTGGCGATGAGACGATTCTCAGTTCAAATCTAGGCTTCATGATCTTCAACGCCGGGTTGGAAGGGGGGGCAGGGGTGCACCATGAAAGACGACATTGGTGGGACAAACCGTCGAAAAGAGGCGCTCTGCCGTGGAGAGACTCCAGTCAGAGAAGATGATCAGGTGGCCATGGAGAAGACTCTCGGCCAGCGCGAAGCCGGAGGAGGGAGAAACAAGACAACAACACTCAACCACAACAGAAGTGGGAAGTGCAGCCTTGCAGCTACGGATGCACCCACACTACGGCTGAAAGAGGCGGGATGGGCTTGTCCGACCTCGGCCATGATTGGACAGGGCCACAGTGGCTGGCCGCCGGTAAGAGAAGAGGGGGAGGGGAGAAGGGGGGAGAGGGGCAACATAAATCAAATTTGGTTAACAACCCTTTTCGAAGCTAAATCGTAATCATTAGATGATACGATTTATGAGTTATCCATAATTATTCACAATAGTTATCCATCGTTGCGAAAACACCGGGAAGTTGGTCGCCCGCCTCTCCGTCATAGCGACCTCAAACCCGGTGATAACTAGTCAGGGAATTGAGCACCTCCTCCGCCAGCGAAACACCACCTCCACACGGTGATTCTCTGAGAATCGGGTCGGGCGGCCCAAGGATACCACCGTCTAGAAACCTCAGGTAGTCCAGCTGGTGAAGGCGCTGGAATTGAAGACAGGGAAGGTCTTCAGGATTTTTTCCAGAAGAGGAACGAGAGAGAAGAATATAGAAAGATAAAGTATTTTTTAACATTTATTTATTTTAACTTAAGATTAAGACTATGTTTGGTAAAATTAGCTGATAACTGAAAAGGTAGCTTATAGCTTATATTAATTTTTGAGCTTATAGCTTATGACTTATAACTGAAAAGTTAGCTTATATGATAAAAATATTTGGTAAAATTAGCTGATAAGCTAGCTGAAATAAAAAAATTCAACTAGCTTATTTGAAAAGCTACCTAAAGTAGCTTATGGGATAAGCTCGAACTTTTTAATATAGGGAGCTTGTAAGCTAACTTATTTGACTTACCAAACATAGCCTAAATTGTGAAAATATTACTTCCCATGGTAATTTTTAGCTGCAGCCCCATATTCTATTCACTAGTAAAAACCTAAATTTATACAAAGTTTTGCTTTTTTTTTTATTATTTTTTTTTTCAAAATTTAATGTTATACAATGTATCCAATTAAATTAGACCATTTAATTTTCTCGTGACAGACCTACAACCATTAAATTTTCTACAAGGGTCCAAGCAAGGTGAATTATGAATCATAAAATTTTCTACCAAGAAAATTAAATTATGAATTTGTTGTTTTGTCAAGTAGCCTTTTATGTGCCCGTAATTTTAAAACTCATACCGATAATTGACCCGGATTGAACTCCTAGTCACTCAATTACTGAATTGAGTAATTAATTTTATATATTTTTAAATTTTATTTATATTATTATCTTGTAATTAAATATAAAATAATAAAACTATATTATTTACAAGTATAATTTATACCAATATCTTATTAATATTGTATTTTGTCATAGATACTTACCACATAGCATATATGCACGTAATTTTATTGTTTAAAATAAAAAAAATCCAAATTGAAAATAAAAATAAAAAACATTTAATAGACGAGTTCAAACCGAGTTGACCTGGTCGGGTCACCCGAGTCGACTTGGTCAAAGCCGATTGACCGGGTTCCTTGATACCCGATATGTATAACCCACTTGGATTAGACATGGCCGGTTCCGATCCGGCCAACAACCGGCCGGATTTCGCAGGTTCGTTGAACCGGAATTTTGGCCATGCGAGTCAGTTTCGGTTCGTCATTTTTATTTTTGGTCCCGGCGGTCCAGGTCGGGCTGGATCGAGCTGCAGGTTGGAAGGCGGTCCATAGTTCATTTTAATTTCTTTATTTTTTATTTTTTTAAAATAAAAACTCGGCGGTTCATTGAACCGGCCGATAGGAATCGTCGGGCCGGTTACGAGCCCAACATATGAGGCTCGCCGACCCGGTGGGCCGGGTCCAACTGTGAACCGGCCCGACATCTGGCCACCTCTAACTTGGAGTCTTGGATCGGTCTCGAGCGCCTATCAACCGGGTCCAGGATCCTGATCGACCCGGTTGGGTTGGTCCGGATTCCAAACCACTGCCAATACATCCCCTTTAAACAGCTACCCTCCCGCCAATGAAGCTGAATAATATCCATGGTCCATGGA